TCTTTTCTTATATTCACTAGACATCTAAAAATTAACAACATCTAAATAATCATGAAAAAAAATTTTTATACAAATCTACAGATTGATACACAGGTTAAACACAAAAGAATAGGCGTACTGAAAAGGAATTCTGATTTTATCTTATTTATAATATAGGATGTAATAGGATGCTCTATTTTTAGCTATCTATAATATAGGAATTCTGATTTTTTAGCTGATCTATAATATAGGAATCACCATTTGGTACAGTGATTCTTTTGTATTTGACTAGTTATATATACCTTCAATACTACTGGGAATTTCACCAACTTCTAAAACTACCGCATGAGAAGGCTTATCAAACAGCCATGAGTTAATTTTCCAAAATTTTATCATATATTGATGTTGAATTGGAATTTGTATCATAATTCAGTTCTCCTATTGAATTAGAATAATAAAAAGCTAAATATTTGTCAAATATCTTATCAAAAAGATACAAATCTTTAAGTGTTGTATCATTCAATCCAAATATTTGATCTGAAATTAATTTTTTTTTATCATTTTTGGTTTCGTTAATAGGATTAGGCAGTTCAATTTGAAAAACCATCACTGTCATGTGTGAAGTTTCTTGAGTTGTATCAAACATATTGCCATAGATAAAAGTTTTTGCTTGAAATATTATTGTGAGATTTCAAATATTTGAATTTTGTTGAAAACCATACTTTAATTGAAAGGAATGTAATAGAAATAAGGACTAAAATGAAGAAACAATTTTTGTTATTTGTACAATATCACTAGATTCAATAAGTTTATTTCTTTGGCTTTGTTCTTTATTTGTTATTATCATTTTTTTTCATATGTGCTAATTAATAGATTATGAAAAAAATCCACTGACCACAATGGAAATGAAGATATATTCAGGCGGATTTAAGATAATTCAATGGATTCTTCAAGTTCTTTTTAAGAATTCCAAAGTTTGCTGGTAAATGCTTTCACTTTAATTCTTCCATTGAAATGGTATCAATATTAATATTTTTAATTGAAAAGCAATTCAAAGATAAAACAAACTGGAAATAAATAAATCTACATTGGATGAGATAGAAGTTTTGAACAGAGGGACATTTTTTTGATGAAACAGTTTTGATATTTGAAATATTGAAGGTGCAATTATATGTAAAACTAAATTTGGAAATCTATTTTCATTATATTTTTCTATTGCAATTAACCATTGACCAAATTATTTTAAGTTGTTCCAAAGTATCTTTTACATGTTCTTCTATTTGTTGTTTTTTCCCTTTTCCAGGTTTAATATAAAAATGACTCTCATTATTTATAAAACAGATATACATGTAAATAGTGGCCTATATGTATTTTCGGAAGCTTCCTTAAATATATTACCACATCTTTTGAATGCTCTACAATGTATTTTCCTGATATAAGGTGCTAATATTACTTTATCTAAAATATCAGAAGAATGTCGCTTAAAACTTTTTACTCTTGAAAATAATAATAGTTATGAAGACAAAATAGACATTGCTGAAATTGAATATGACTTTGTTCAGAATTTTTGCTGATTTGGAGCTTTTAATATGTATTTTCTGATCAAAGTTGAAATGAACATACATATTTTCAATCTAGATAAATCATTGTTCCAGTGACTGATCAATTCACATAACTTTTTTGCTATCGGCATCACATGTTTGAACTTGCCATTAACAACATCCATTAATGTACAAGGCATTAATTTGTTTTTTGAATCTTTTCCTATTACTTGTGAAAATTCATTTATTTTGTTGCATCTCTTCTTCAGTATTGCTTTACCAAATAACGTCATCTTATTAATATTAAATATTCATTATAATATGATCAAAATTATTTTTCCAGAAATTCATCTATATATCTGTAATTTAACACAATTGATTAATAAATAAAGATTACTACATTAAAATAAATTGATGAAATTTCAATTATAAAAATTATATTTGACAAATTCAAAAATATGCAAACTTTCTGCATGTATTAATATTTCCTTAAATATTTACATAAAATTCATCACAAAATTGCAATGATTTATATTCTTTCAAAAGAAGTATATTAGAAGAAATGTTTTGTACATATTTTAAATTTTTTTTATATTTTTTTCATTTAAATTAATATTATAACAATATCACATTTAGTTTAGGAGTAACCTTTAAAATAAAAAAAAATGAGAAAGAGAAATGAAGAGAAAAAGAGAAATGGAGAGTAAGAGAGAAAAAGATAAGAAAGAAGAATAAAAGGCAAGATAAAGGTAAAAGAGTAGCATTTTATTTTAATAAGTAAATGTCAAAGACGGTACTAAGTAAACCTAAAAATATTATTTTTAAATGATTTAATAATCAATTGTCTAAAAATATTGTTTTTTAGACAATTTATAGACCATTAATTATTAAATTGACTATGATCATCTAAAAAAACAATATTTTTAGATTGAATATCTTGATGAATATCGATACTATAAGAATAAAACACATATCATCTTGTAGCCAGGGACCAGTACTTTCAATCTATCATAGAAAATTTTTAGTCAAAAATCCTCCTTGTTGCATCAATCACGAGCGAAGTCAAAAAATGGATTTTTTCCATGAAAATTTTCCTGATGCATTGTTTTTTAAATGATCATCTAATTATATTAATCTTGTTAGCTCCAAAGGCTTATGGATAGCTTTAACTAAGTTACTCACTATAATTTCAAATAATTTTTAGAAGTAGAAATCATTTACAAAAAGAGTAAAAATTTTCTTCTATATTATTTAAAGATATAAAAGGTAATTTTTACCTTTTCAAATAAGAGTAACATTCAATATAAAAAAGATAAAATTTCCTTCTATATTATTTGAATATTTAAAAGGCAATTTTTACCTTTTTTGGAAAAAAAATCTAAATCTAAAAAGGATAAAATTTCCTTTTATATCATTTAAATATATAAAAGAAAATTTTTACCTTTTTGGAACAAGATTTCCAGGTAGTGTTTGAAGTCAAAAGTTCATTAGCTGACTTAGCTGATTTAGCTAGCTTAGTCAGTTGATTTTTTAAGAATTAGCTAATTAGATAATCAATTGTGTAACTCTAATATAATTATGATATACTGTGCAACTCTATTATACTGTTTTAATTAATCACATAATTTTTGTATGAAGTTCTTATAAATTTTATTTCTATATTAAGAAATTTTTAGATGCAAAGAAATTGTTTGACCAACAGGTCTAGAAGCAACTAAATAATGATAGAAATCAATTAAAATTTTTTAGATTATAAAGACATAATATGCATAATATGTGAGTACATAATTAATATTTATTCATACTTAAAGCAAAAGTAAATTTTAATTTTTCAAGTTCATTTTCAAAATTTTCATTATTCTTAGGTTTTGGAAGACTTGTATAATTGAGGAATCTACTGGTATAAATTGCTTCTGAATGTGTTTTGTAATTTATTGGAGTTGGATTTGTTGATCTTAACTTATTGTCTCTAATTAAATTCAAAAATTCACCTTTTTTTTATTTTTTGAAAAATTCATTACCTTGTTTAATTTGAACTGTGATTTCATTATAACTATTTTTCCAATAATCGGAATGATATTTATTCACTTCCTCTACCAATTCTTTAAAAATGGGTTAATGAGTAGCTTGGGTATCTCAGTATCTCATAATTAATCTAGTAATTAATTTTGGAATATGAAATCGAATTTTGGGTCATAACCCATTATATATTTTTTTTTATACCAATGCTCCAATAAACTTTATTAATATTAAATCTGTAAATTTTTACATTTTATATATTGTACATTTATTGAAACTGACTAACATATTTCTATTTACCATCTGACCTATTGTTGCCTAGGTTAAACCTGAGAACTGATGATCAAAACTCCATCAGATAAAATGATAGTATCTATAACAATAGTTAATATTATAATAACTTCTATACATAATCCATGTTTCTAAGTTATGCTCTTTATATCTTTCTATTATTTTTTTTTATTTCTTCTTCATTCTTTTCTTTTCTTATTATTGTTGGTTGTTTCTGTTTCTATTTATTTCTTCATTTAATTCTGTTTATATGTTATTTCCTTTCCCATTTATATTATCACTATTGCTATGATTCTTATTATTAACTTTTTTAATTTTATTTGTAATATTGTTTTTAATTTCCATTCAATTACCCTTTCACATCTTTTCTTCCAACATTCTTGTAAATTTAACCATTCCCTCAATTATTACCTCCCTGGCCTTTATCTTGCTTTTGAGTATTTTAGTTATTTTATTAGTTAAAGAATGTGATATAAGTTCCCTAATTATATCATATAAGTTCACATGATGAAATGTTCTTTGATCCTGATCATCTATATTCCACAAATATAGTTCACTTATAGATCTCAACATTGTATTTATTGTTTCTTTACTAATGATTTTGGCCTTCTCATAAGTTTTATCTATTAAGTATTCAATTAATTTTTTATAATGTTCCATCATTGGCTTGTATTCAGAATTATCATTGTTTCTTTTGTACTCAAATACATGCAAATTATTCTCTTTATATCTTTCAAATAATACACATTTAGGATCATTAAATATGTGAGATTGGTGCTGAAATCTTTTAGTTATTACTGGTAGTTCTTTATTTAAAAGTTTTATTGCAAAGATTCTTTTCATTTAATCATCTCTACTTGTTTTATCATTTGTTATTTTACTTGGATGCAATATTTTAAAAGTTGTACTCCAATCTATTTTTTGCGCCTTTCCCTGGTCCACAAAAATTTCTTGTAAACAATTTTTTGACTTCCATTTCTGTCCTTTCTTGATTATGTTATATTTCTTTACTATTAGTTTCACTGGTATCTCCATAGGTATGTTGTTCCAAGTTGGAATATATGATCTATTGTTTATATTTATGTAATTAATTTTAATTATTTCTTGATCTTTCTGTGTCAATGGCTAAAGAATCTGTCATATTGAAATTATATATTATATGTTGTTCATTTAATAGGAAATACTTCCTATATTTCCAGTTTTTTTAGATAGATAAGACCTATTTTCCATTCTTTCTAATCTTTTTTGTATTTCAACATTAGATTGTTTTAACTCTGGTATTAAATTTGCTAACATTTTAACAGTATCTGCTATTTGCTCTATTTGTGTTACTTGTTTTTCTTTTGTTCTTATATTTTCAGTAGTTGCATTCAACACTTCCTCCACAGTATTATCTAAATCTTCATCTTCCTCCATTGCTTCATCAAAATTTTCTTTTCCCACATATTCTTCCAAAGCTTGGACTTTCTCTTCCATGTTGTTATTGTGTTGCTTAATATCTAATATATCTTGTTTTATGTTTTGAAGTGTTTCCAATATGGTTTCAAAATGCTTTCTTGGTTACTGTCCCCTTCCTTATTTCCTTTATCCCTGTTCACATTTCTTTTAACAGCATCAGAGTATCCTGTGCCTAGATCTATATGATCCTTTAAATTTTTGTATAATCTTGGTCTATTAATTTTGTACATGTGACCATATTCTTAAATCATTTATTTTTCTTTCATTTATTTCTTTTTGTCTTGCTACAACTGGACATTTGAATATCAAATGATCCTCTGCATGATATTGATGGCATGTTTTTGTTGTTGTATCTACTATTTTAATCTTTAAATCACCAGCTTCCCAGACTTGACCTATAATTGTTGCTTTTCTTTCTGCACTTCTAATGTTGCAATTGCCATTCTTTTGTTTTTTTTTCATATGAATTTCTTGAAAAATAACAAGTTTAACTCCCATTTGTGCTACAATTATATATAATTCACATGATGACATATCATTTGGTAAATTAATTATTTTAGCTGCATGTTCTCCCTTTTTTTAATTCTGTAAATGTAATGCTGGGAATTGACACTCTACATGATTCTTCTCTTACTATTTGGAACCAATATGTCAAAATCAGTACTGCAATAGCATGATCTTCAAAGTGCACAATTGCTGATGACCACATGCCTCTTGTAGACATTGTGCATAATACTATGCATGCTTACAGGAATATCCCAAAATTTGACACTATTCTCTTTATTGATACTTCTATTTGAGTTACTGTAACTCTAACTAAATTGGATGTTTCATTTCTTTGTTTCCCTCAATTTCAAATTTTACATGCTTTTTCAGTATCCTCCTTTTTTTCAAAATAAACTAGAATGTATAATCCCTGGTCTTCATGGTTCTTTTCAGTTCAAACTGTTATGATATTTTTATCTAATATTTTAGTAATATTTTAAATTTTCACCCCAATATTTTTTTCCCTTAACTGCTGATTTTTTAATTCAAGCTTTATACTTCTTCATTTCCACTTGTTTTCTCCATACTTCATGTTTGCTCAGAAAGCTATTTACTGTTGCCACTGACATATTATCACTTGTTGTTCTTCTTTATCTATTTTTCTATCATTATTTTTTCTCTACTTTTTCCTTTATAAATTTTAATTGTATTTTCTTTGTTGTTTTCATTGTCTAATAAAGCTTCAGTTTCCATATTTGCATTTGCTTCTTGATTTTTTTCATTGTTATTGTTGTTCATCATTGCATTTTCATTGTTGTTATATGATGTTCCTACTCCAGGGTTTACTACGAGCTGCTCCTCCACTTTTTTCAACTTTTCCACTGGTTTTCCCAATGTTAACTAATTCTTTCTTTTTAGTTCCATAATTTGTTGTGCTCCGTCTGGGACATATATTTTGTTGACCAAATTATCGTTCATGTTTACTATTGTTTTCATTGACTAGGATGACTCAAAAGAGTTTTTCTCTTCCTTGAAAATTTCTTTAAAAATGATCATTGGAAAGAGTTCCTAACCCATTACATATTCTTCTGGTAAATATATATCATGTGGAATATTGTGGTATGGTGCAAAAACAGTTAATATCTCATAAGTTACAATACCAAAAGAATAAACATCGGATGCTTGGTATATTCTTCTCCACTTAATACTTCTGGAGCTATATAGGGCAATACACCGAAAATTTGTCTCTTTTCAGGATTTTTTACATCATGTCCTATTAATTTACTTAGACCAAAATCTGAAATATGTGTTAAAAAAGCATTTTCAAAGTCATATAATAAAATATTTCCAGGATGGAAATCCTGATGAACTATATCTAATTCATGAATTTTTTTAAAACCAGATGCTAATTTTCGTAAATAGCCTAATTTAAGATCCCAATCAATATTATTAAAATTAATTTTCAAATAATTTATAAGATTTCCACCAATCATGTATTGTAAAACCATAATATATTCTTTTGTTTCTGGATCTTGTGTAATTCCATAAATTAGAATTGAAGCATAACTATTATTCTCTATTTTTAAGTGAATTGCTCCCTAAATAATATAATATTTATTTTAATTTATAATTAAGGGTAATATAATATATAATTAAAAAACAAATGAACACATCTTTCATTAATAAATATTTTACCTCATTTAAGAAGTCTTCATTTAAATTTGCAAAATCATTATCAAACTTTTTTAATACTAAGTTCAGTTGGCTCCATCTTTTTCACTGTTGATTTTCAGCATCCCATTCTCGAATTCGTTCATCAATCCACTTAGCCTTATATGCTGTTCCAAATCCACCCTTTGCTATTTCTTTAATATTTTTAGATATATCAAAAGGTATCCATTCTATTACTTCATACTCATTAGTTGCATTTAATTGAGCATCTTGAATAAACTTATCTTTTGTGATATTTCCACTTGTCCATTTGGAAATGTTTCGAAAAACATCATTCGCACCTCCAGGTTTGATTGCATTCTGGACATATTTTATATGACAATTTTTTTGTTTACTTATAATTTTACACTATAGTTCGTAGGGTAGGTAAAAGTTCTTTTTATTAAAAAAAATTGCTTTGAAATTCTAGTATTCGATTTTATGTAAAATTTTCTGACTTTATTATTTAATAAATTACAACAGTTAAAATATTAATGTTATTACTTTAATCGAGTTAAAAAAAAAAAAAAAAAAAAAAAGTGATTGAAATAATAAGGGAGTTTTAAGATCTTTATTATTCGTATGTGCAAAAACCAGAAAAATATTGTATAAAAATAAGATATTTAATGATACCTGCCATAATTCAAAGGTTAACACGTACATGTAGCATTTTAGAGTTATATTTATTACATAAACAATTACACCTGTTATGTACGCAGTGATGAGATAAACAATTTGCAATATAAAAATGAAGCTTATTGGATGGTTTAGATAGCAACATTTTAATAATATTATCTTTATTATTATTATTTGAATTATTTTATTAAAATTTATAATTCATGATATGTATATATTAAGAATAAATTTTCTCTAAAGCATTTAATTGATTGTTCTTTCAGAGATTTGATATTTTCAACAAAGACGTGTATATACAAAAAATAAATGAATTTTAAAAAAATATATAGCATAGTTTCCATTTTTAAAAAATAATAATGAAAATTTTCTTTGTTGCCTCTAATAAAATTCATAAAATTGATCCATATATTTCTGAAAATGCTTGCAAACAACCTTTTTCTTATTATAAATTACATGTGTATCGTAAAAATAAAAACCGTTGAAAAGAATCTCTCATTTCTCACGAGGCACTCTCTGGTCAAGATTCTTTTCACAAAAAGATAAAGTTGTATATGAGTTTACTTCTAATAAAGATGAGTCAGGCACGATCTCGCACCTAAGTTCAAAAGACAAGATATCGAGAGTGAGCAACAATCCTCTTGGCGAACCAAATACTTCTAATTTAATCATCAATTTTCAGGACAGTATGTGGCTGGTATCGCTGGATTTAAGAATTTAATAGTAGATGTTCCTTTCCTCCTATCCAAGCATTTATTAACGTTAGGTGAATAGAATTCATATTCACCAGAGCATATCATTAACTAATGCCAGTCTTAGAATCGTGCGTAAGTGAATATATTGTATTATGAGTATAAATTATTTACATTCACTCAAATAACATTTTTATATGAAAAAAGGAATGAGTGTCTGAAAAATGATAGTTTAGATTCTGGTTTTTGGAATAGAAAAACTTGCCTGCAGGTTCTATTCTTATTATTTTTTTTGATGATAATAATGAATTCAATAATAAAAAATAACAATAAACATAATAATTAGCATGGGTTTCAATTTTTTTTTTTAAAAAAAAAAAAAGAAATCAAAAAAACAACAATGGTAATAATTTTTATTGTCTCGCAAACTTGAATAAATCAACCGTGAAAGTTTGTGCATCCAGAAATTTCTTCATATAGAACTAAAGATGTTTTGAAAATAAACGATTATTACAACATGAAATTTATTGTTATTCTTACTACATTAGCAAGACATTTAATAAATTATAATTATTAAATATAAATCAAATAATATTTTCAAACAAAATATGAATTGTAGCAAGATTTCTATTTGCTATTGTGGAAGAGCAAGTCGGCCAGTTTATTTTTTCAAGTGGTTCTATCGAATGTGAAGCTCCAGAGACAAAGGTAAGTGAAAACGGTTAAGATTTTTTTAGTACTAAATAATTTATTGGAATTTAAATTGATATAAAAATTATTTATTGTCCGGAGCGAAGCACTATGTTTGAAAATCGTGAGGATAACTAATAACATTTCGATAAATAAACAATAAACAACAATACTACCAATCAAATTAATTTTTTGAAAGCTTTGTTTATATTTTGTATATTTCTTTGAGTAATTAATATTAATTTGTAGACATGAAAAAAGATAATAATTAAAGTTTAAAATTGTTTTTGGTTATCTCCATCTCCATACGTTAGGTAGATCGAAAAAAATTATTATTTTTTTTTTTTTTTAAAAAAAAAAGAATCGTACAACATTTTATTTTTAGTTTTTTCGTTTAGAACATTGGAGAACACATGAAAATTGAAATGATCAAATAAAATAATCAATAATAAATATTTGGTTAATAAAAATAAATAATTATTAAATAACTGTAGACATTTACTATGACTATGTAACTTTTAATGGAAATAAAAAGATTTCGTTAAAAAAATAATTAAATTATATTACCTTCATGTCTATGGGGTTCAATGATTACTTTAGAGACACCTAAAAGATTTTTTTAAATGTATCATATCATAAAGTGTTTCACGAAAATAAAATTTTCTTAAGAAAAGGTCGCTATTAATTTAACTCCACCATTGAAACCTCTTCTAGTTCCACCATGACTTCCCCTAATAAATTTATAATAATAATACTTACTGAATGGCATTATCATTATTATTATTATTATTACTATTTAATTTATTATAAAATTTATGCAGTCAGTATAATAAGTTTATTTGGAATGATCTAATCCAATTAATTTAACAAATATAAAATTTACTATACCAATAATTCATGAATTATAGATCTATTTTTTGTTTTTTATGTATTGTGTATTGTGCATAGTATAATTAGTTAATTGTTTAAAAATAAAATAACAAACAAATTGAAAAATTTTTTTGTATTAATAAAAATTAAAGAATTAAAATATGGTTGCCATTAATACAATTAATAAATTCCATGCTCACAAAATACTTACAATACTCATAATATTGAAATTTATTTTTCAAAAAAACATATATTTGCAGTTAAAAAAATTGCAGCAAAAATTTTAGAAGTAAGAATTACGATAATAATAATTAATCTTTGAATATTCAAATCAATTCATTTCTTATGACCGTTTCAACTTCATAAACACAAATATTTTTCATTAAATATATTTTTATTTTAATAACCTTTTAATAAATCATGAAATATTTTCTAAAATTCATTACCTAAATTCATCAATTAGTTAAACACAAATATTTTTCATGGAATATATATATTTTTATTTCAATAACCATTTTAATAAATCATGATATATTTTCTAAAATAATAAAAATAAAATAATAAAAAAATAAAATAATAAAAAAATAAAATAATAAAAAAATAAAATAATAAAAAAATAAAAAATAAAAAATGAAAAATATTATGAAGATATTAAAGTAAAAAGATCAAATTAATTAATTAATTAATAACTAAATAACAAAATTCGTTATCAAATTCATCAATTAGCTAATAAGTTTTCTAAATTTAAATCTATAGATAAATCATTCCTTTTCTCCAATAACTGATCATCTTATTAAAAACTCATTAAATAATTAAAATAAATAATTAAAAATAATTAATAAGAAGTAATAAATTTAAAAACATTTAAAAACATTTAAAATCAATGAAATTATACAACAATACACCACACTCACTTCCCACTCTCACCCACACATACCTTTCCATACACAATGCATCTGTATACAGGATATCACATTGAAGTAATATATCACACATTTCTAATAATAAGAAATATTAAATTAATCTCAATCAAATAATATACTGTAAATATATGATATATAATATAAAAATATATATAATTATCATATAATTGACTGAAATTCACAATTCTATTTTATCAATTGATAATCTTTTCTTCCCTCCTTCTTTATCAAATTTGTTGTTAAGAAAATTATCATTGTTATTATTATTCTCATCATTCTCACTAATAATCTTAATTAAATTATGATTAATGCTAAATTGATTAAAAAAGAATTTAATATCAAAATTAAATCTGTAAAATTTTACATCTTAAATGTAGCCAAACAATACCGTTTTGATAATAAACAGCATCAACCAATAAACAATAAAAAACAACACTGCCAATCAAATTAATTTTTTTGAAAGCTTTATTTTATATTTTGTTATTTCTTTTATTTTTTTTTAATAAGCAAATTCAAATATATACTGACTGCTCCGGATTTTACAACGGTTCACATTTCCTAGTTATAAAATATACATGTTATATCTAAATTATAGGTGTTGTAACCATTAATCTTTGTACAATAATGGAATTTGCTGTAGAACAGTTTACAATTTTACAAATTACAAAAAAAGCAACTCATTAAATAACATTCTACTCTATGGTCATACATTGAGAAAAATTTCATGATCTATTTACAGGTCCGTAAAAAATTGATAAAGGGTAAGAATTGATTTAAAACTGTACGAAAAAAAAGGAAAAGATTCAATATGAATAAAAAATCTTTTATGGTCTTCTGATACGGATCATGAGCCAATGCTATTATGCTATGATACAATATCAAATGTTGTGTATCCGTCATCCTTAGCGAACTTCCAATCGCAAACCTCCTCTGGAGGACAAACTTGTACCTTTTTTACCCTTCGTATCTCCAGTGAGTGTTGTTGAACCCATAGGAGATGGGTTCAACATATTCATTACAGAGTGGACATCGGCATTGATGTTCGTTATGATAAAAATCAAATCGCAGTAACCCCAATTGAGTATGTGTCGATTGAAGTAAGATTCGCAGTTAGAAATCCTTTGTGCCCAGAGAAAATATGAAAGAAAATGTGAGCTGATTCCTCAATTTAATTTCGGTAACATCAAATTTACCTTCAAGATTGAGACCACGTGCTGCTATCCTCCTACGAGGGGAAACTTTGGACCATGGTCTTTTTCTGGATAGATTTGTTCAAATCCTGAAGCTGAAAACCGATGGGTAGTCCTCCACCACCACAGAAACTACCGGAAAATCTTTCAAATGAAGAGTATCTGCTTGTTTAATGCTTATCATCGATTTTGTTGTTAATCTTTGATTTTGAAACTCGATACCTATACAATGTAACAAATATAACAACGGTATGTTTTAAAAAAAAAAATTTTAAGAGTTTGCAAAACTTCATTTATGATAAAGGTTCTTTTGAAATTTTTCTTTACAAAGTCGGTCAGTTTTGTATTTTTTATATTATAATATATTTTCCACCTTCTTTTTCTTGTATTTTATACTTTATACTGCTAATAATATCACATTCTTATACTTCAAGGTCAGTAGTCTTTCCATCGATTTGTTTGAGCATTTTTGTTGGGTAAAATTCTTAATAAAAAAATTTGCTATAGGGGGGAATACTTTCCCTTTATAAAAATAAAAACCCAATTACGGAAGGATTTATTGTTTGATTTGAGTAGAGATGCTATTTATGTATGGTAAATCAGTAGTACGGTTAAAATGTTATTACGCCCCATTATTATATTACTTTATTTAAAACATTATAACACATTTTAGGTTATTCAATTACGTATGTTACACGGCTTCGAAATATTTATACATTATGCTGTACAACTTTGTTATCATTAATACGTTACTATATACAGGGGTAGGCTAAAGCGGAGTAGAATCATGTGAGGTGATTTCGGGTTAAGGCGGAAGTGTGATCGTATCACATGTAT